GTATTTGAGCCCAGGATGATTTTGATTGGATTATATAAAAGATCCAATTTGAGCTGTTATTAAAAATTCTGAGATACAGAAAAAACTACTCTCAGGCTTAAAACATACCCCTAAACTTCTAAGCTATCTGCTGACACACAGCATTGTCCCACTTGACAGTGCTATATTTACAGCCTGAAATGATGATGCTTTTGGTGGTGATTTTTCATGTAGGAAGTCACACTAACACCCCTGAGCCACCTGCATATATCTTAAAGCTAACTTTTCCCCTACCAAAAAAATGATTCTGTTTAAGACTTTAAAAAAGAGAGATCCTGAATGTCAAGGTGTTATAAAAAGATAAAACATGCATCCCACATGTTCACAGCCTCCTGCCCAGTGGGGCATTCAGGGCAGCCTTTGTTGAGCTAGTTCCATTATTGGAGGGCTTGATAAATGATCCACTATAGTAGCTTGGAGATTTCTTTTAGGATTATGCTGTGAAGTCACTCAAGTACAGAATATCATTATATGGCTTTGTTATTGTGACTTTTTTCTAACTTTTCAATTACACATTTTTTTAGGAGTTAGGGAGCCCATGGTTTTAGCAGTAACTCTCCACTACATAATAAAATTACATGGATTTGAGTCAGCCTTTTGCAAACTGCAGAGAGTTCAAGAGGGTTATCCTCTCACCTTCTCAACCAGGAGTCTTAGTTTCTTCAGTTATAAAGTGGGGAGCCAGGATTAAAGCTTCCCTCTTATCCTTTCTAGTTCCAAACATTCTACTCAAAATGGGGTGCAAAGCGTCTACAGTCTAACACTCATCTGTGAACTACCTGTTAGAGCTCTCGCAATTGCCAGTAGATTGAGCAAGCATTTTAAAGCCATTAGATAGTTTTGGCATCAACTTTCTGATGAACCTTCATAATTCTGGGGCAGGAAAATCTAACTACAATAGTCCTTCCTTATTCACAGTTTCAGTAACCCACAGTCAACTGCAGCCCAAACATAGTAAACAGAAAATTCCAGAAATAAACAACTCATTAAGTTGTTAGTTTCATACTGTTCTGAGTAGTGTGATGAAATCTTGTACCATCTCACTCTGTCCCACCCAGGATATGATCTTGCCTTCGTCCACAGTATCCATGCCATACACGATACCTGCCCACTCATCACTTTACTGGCTATCTTGGTGATCAGATTGAGTGTTATCGTATCTCATCACACAGGCATTTTATCATTTCACATCAGCACAATAAGGATGCTTATAGTGCAATAAGATATTTTGAGAGAGAGAGAGCAAGAAAGAGACCAGTATATTGCTATAATTGTTCTATTTATTATTGGTTATTTTTAATCTTTTACTGTGCCTAATGCATATATATATATATATTTTTTTTTTTTTTTCTCTCTTTCTCTCTCTTTTTTTTTTTTTTTTTTTTTGAGACAGGGTCTCATTCTGTTTCCCAGGCTGGAGTACAGTGGCACGATCTCAGCTCACTTCAACCTCTGCCTCCCAGGTTCAAGCAATTCTCCTGCCTCAGCCTCCCAAGTAACTGGGATTACAGGCACTTGCTACCATGCCCGGCTACTTTTTGTATTTTTAGTAGAGAAAGGGTTTCACGATGGTGGTTAGGCTGGCCTCTAACTCCTAACTTTGTGATCTGCCCACCTTGGCCTCCCAAAGTTCTAGGATTACAGGCATGAGCCACTGTGCCCAGCCTAATTAATAAATTAAATTTTAGCACAGTATAGTATAGTACAGTATAGGAAAAAAACAGTGTACATTATTTCAGGCATTCACTAGGGGTCCTGGAACCTATCTTCCAAGGATAAGGGCAGATTACTGTAGCTAAAAATTCATTTAAAAATTTACAATAATAAGTGGGCTGCTAATGAAGTTAAGGGCAAAGAAGGAGAATTTGCATCCTTTTGCAAGAACATCTACTAACCTTCCATTACCATAATTTCTTCTTCTTTTTTTTTTTTTTTTTTGGAGGGGTCTCACTCTGCCACCCAGGCTGGAGTGCAGTGGCATGATTACAGTTCACTGCAGCCTCAACCTCCTGGGCTCAGGTGATCCTCCCACCTTAGCCTCCTGGGTAGCAGGGACTACAGACGTGAACCACCAGGACCAGCTAATTTTTGTATTATTTGTAGAGATGGGGTTTCGCCATGTGGCCCAGGCTGGTCTTGGATTTCTGGGCTTAAGCAATCCTCCTGCCTCAGCCTCCCAAAGTGCTGGGATGACAAGTGTGAGCTATCACACCTGCCTCATTTATTCTTTAAGAGAAAAATTTATTGCAGAGATATTTGTAATTAATCAGTGACATTAACAAGTAATACTAACACACCTCAGTGCCTTCTTACAAAACAGAAGGGAGAATGGGATCACTCTTCGTGCAAAAAAGGATTCTTTACGGAAAGTTTCACGTTAGGGTTTCCAAAAGCCCCCTTGTACCCACTCCCCTGGTGGGTACTTAACTTTCAAGGTGGCTGTCCACTGGGAAGGAAAGCACTTCTACATCGAATTTGCTTTAATGTCTTACACTTCATAGAGTTACTGATATTGTTTTATGAAGAAGGTATAAATTATAAGTAAATGAAAATGTATACATGCTAAGCTTTTAGTCTATGATTGATATAAAAATGGCAACTTGAGTAATTAGATTTTGAAAGTAATTCATGTGAAAGCAGTAATAACTAAAGTTGGGAATCTGCCACTCGATTATTTAATTTCTTTCTCTTGCTCTGACTATAAATCAAAATAGTCTCAAAATTGCAGGCAGTGAAAACTGAATTAAAAAATTCCTGGAGAATTCAGATTCAAAATAAAATAGGTTATTTTTGTTGTTGTCATCGTTTGGTTTTAGGAAACCATCATGAAGTAAATAAGGATGATATGAATTTCAGGACTATTAGTGGAGTTGTTAGGAAATGTGTTTCTGGAAGAATATTTGTGCTTTGTGAACAATTTAAGAACTTACTAGTGCATTATGGAGCATGCCAATGCCTTCTCACTGCCACCCTGATTTGGTTCATGTCACCATTTGATTTTCTGTTTGCACTTCTATCTTTTCTGCTAGACTGAAATTTTCTTAGGCATGGATGTGTCTTACTCATCTTTGGTTTGTCAGAGGCTAGCACTGTGTCACATTCAGCAGTCCGTCAGGGCACTCAGTAAAGTTCTCCTTACTTCTCTCTAACCTCCAAGCCCTTTTTACCACCTCAGTTCTCTTGTTCCTTTAATATCCAGTGCTCCCAGGAAATCTCCCAGGATCACTGAGTTAGATGCAGCACCTCTCTTCCCTAAACCTTAAACTCACCAGAGGACCTATAGCCTTCTCTTCAAGGATATCAGCATGTGATTCCATCAGGGCATAGACCATATCACATCTTTTTCTGAATCTACTGTGGCATCTAGCAGAGTGCTTTGAATACAAGGAGAGTTTAAAAAGGCACCCGGTTCAATAAACTCAGAATTTTATAACTAGAAGGACTTTGAGGGTCAACTAGTGTAGTGGTTCTCATCAAGGGATCTACCACCTTTTAGGAGGCATTTTGAAAAACTGAGGGGGCATTTTTAAAAGTTAGCAAAATGATTGTGTGTTGGGGGTGGGGTTGGGGGGCAGGATGCTAGATGACTTGCTATCCTGGGAATGTCCTACACAACAAAGAATTGTCCTGTGTCCTGAACTTTCTCATGTTCTCCTGGACATTCATGATTATTTACAAATATATATAATTATGTGAGTCTAGACAGTTTTGCTATGGATTTCCAACATTTGCTTGGATTTCCAGGATTCAACTATTACATAAATTAAAGGAAGATGGTACTTTATGATGTTTAGAACTTGACTAAGAATTTTTCACCAAGTGGAAAACCACATCAGCAGTCATGATATTAGAGATGACACCCATTACCTGAAGTCAGACTGCATTTGCAGCAGGTGCATTCACAGAGAGTCCGTGTTACATACAAATATACTTATTGAGCTCTTACTGTACATGTCAAATCTAAAAAAAACAGTGTCCACAATATCCAACTGACTACTGCCTTACTTCATTTAATTGCAAAGTGATTCATTATAAGTGGGTGTGAAAATCTGGCCTATTTATTGAGCTTTCTATTTTAATACTTCCTGAATTTCTTATATTTTTATTTACTGAAAATCTGTTTCTAGGTAGGTTATATTATGCATGAATTTTATTTTAAGATTTGTTCTAAAAACAGGGCATTGGGTCAGATAGTATTGAGAAGCACTGATCTAGTAGATTCCAATACAGTTTCCTTATTTTTCAGAAAGGAAATGGGACCCTAGAGAAGAAATGAGGCACCCAAAGTCAAATAGTAGATTAGGAAGTGGTCTTTTAAAGATGAATAAATTTATAGTTATAGTACAAATAATTAATGTTCCAGATTCTAACACCCTGGAAGATTATGTTCTGTCACATCATATAAAAAATACTAGCAGTTCAAATAATTTGGTCTGCCCTTTAAAAAGGAAAACATTTAATAACATTTCTTTTCGTCATTAATTATTCCTTCACTACTCCAGGTGAATTCTAGCAAAAGTATCTATATAGAATATTTCTTTAAACTAGAATTTCCATTTCAAAAAACCATCTGACAGGCCAGGCATGATGGCTCACGCCTGTAATCCCAGCACTTTGGGAGTCCAAGGCAGGACCACTTGAGTCCAGGAATTCAAGGCTGAAGCTGCAGTGAGCCATGATCACACTACAGCACTCCAGCCTAAAAAAAAAAAAAAAAGAAGAAAGAAAGAAAAAAAGAGAGAGAAAAAAATCCTCTGACTTGATGTACTGCTAGATTGAGCATTTATTCTCTGCCCTGTTAATTCCTCTTCACCCCCTATCCTGGCTTCCAGAAGGCTGAATCGTACACACTGCAGAAAAACAACCTTCTATTTTCAACAGAATCAACCCAATGAGCTCCCTTTGTGCTCTTTTCATCTATGTCTTCCTAAGCTAAGCAATTTTACTTAAGCATTACTGACCTGTGACCCCACGAAGTGCCTTTGAAGGTTCCTCAAGTATTGAGATCTTTTTCTCACGAGGGTTAAGGGCTGGTTTCTCGTTGGTAGAATCCATGGAGGAGCTGTCCTTCTCACAGCCATTCATGGGCCCATTTTGAATCTGCGGTGGCAGTGGCTGCAGGGACCCTGCCTCAGGCCTCTCCACTTTGTCTTTAGCATCTTTGTTGCATTGATGCTGCTTGGACTTGCTTCTTTTTCTTTTATTGTTCTAGAATGAGAAACAAATGAGAAAGTAATATTCAGTTCAGACTCTTGAAATATAAGGTGAATCTCAGAGATGAAAATTAGATACATTATCTTTTTTGGTTCTTGGCTCTTCTAATAGACTGGATGAAGAATATTTACACCTTTATTAACCACCCAAATTAATTTAAATATCTTCTTTCTTACAGTAAGTTGTATAAACTTTCACCTTATAAACACAATAAACATGAAAGTTCCAATAAAAGGAAGAAAAAACCAAGAGGAATGGCTTAAATAGCTGCTTAAATATTTGAGCAACTTGAGGCTCTATAATAAAATCTTGTGATAACCGTCCTGAAAAAACTTGATTTCAGTTATCCTGCCACTGGGGAGTAGCTTTCATCTCAAAGTGGTGAATGCTGGGGAGGCAAGGAGCATACTAAGGTTCATATCTGCTGGGGAGTAGGAGAGGTAAAGGGGAGAACTGCTAGGGAAAAGGCAGGCAATTTCTTGTAAAATGAGGGCACAGAAGGTAGGTTGTTAATGTCCAGGTTGGGTCTCTGAAACAGAAACTAATCAACTCGGAGATTCCTGGAATTGCTGCCATTGTCTAGGAAGTCTCAGGTAGCCACAGGATCCATAAGCATCCCCATCTTTTTTTTTTTTTAACAAGGTCTCACTCTGGCTCTGTCACCCAGGCTGGAATGCAGTGGCATGATCACAGCTCACTGCAGCTTCAACCTCCTGAACGTAAGGGATCCTCGCACCTCAGCCTCCTGAGTAGCTGTTACTAAGGCATGCACCACCACATGCAGCATTTAAAAAAAAATTTTTTTGTAGATACAGGGTCTCCCTATATTGCTCAGGCTGGTCTCCAACTTCTGGGCTCAAGTGATTCTCCTACCTCTGCCTCCCAAAGTGCTGGGATTGTAGGCATGAGCTACCTGCCCTGCCATCCTCATGATTATTTCACCTGGAGCAGACAACAGCTTCAAGGTAATGGCAAACTGACATAAGTCCCCCTTTTTTGGTGCAAAAGCCCCTAGACCTCTCGGCTGCTAGCTGAACAGCATTACAAGGCTTCATTTAATTTACTTTGAAATAGCACTACCCTGAATTTTATACAACTGAAATTTTTTAGATATCCAATATTACAGGAGTCTAAAATGTAGAGTTTTACTATATCTCTCCTAAAATGCCCTAATGGTGAATACATAAGAATATCAAGAAAATTAAGATGTTGTTCCTAATTATGTTGTATGCTTGACTTGATGTTGTTTTGTACCCAGTTGATATTCAACGTGCTTAACAAGCAGTATGGTACCAGCGCCGGCCAATCGGAACAGACACCTGACTCATAAGGAAGACCCTGTCCCACCTCCTGAATGAGTGAGTACCAGCTGAACATAGCCTGTCTTCATTCCTCAACACATTTAGAAAAGAAGTAAAAAGTAACTGTTTCCTCTTCTCAATTCTCCTCCTTGCTCTCTTTTCCTTTGGAACCACAATCATGCCCTGGTAAGTGCTCTCCTAGGTGAGAGGTGTGTCCCAGGTTGAAATATAGGCCAGTGGCACTTATTCCCCCCAAATACCCGCAGTAGCTTCTGGCTCTTAAGCCTCACATCTACTCGGCTGGGAGACCATTTTCCTTTTCAACCTCTAGGAGGGAGACTCAGTAATGAGTTGGGTCTGCAGCTGCTGTCTGCTCTTTTTTTCACTTCAGAAAAATCTAATACCCGAACCATACTTTTGAAATTTTTCCATGTAAGTCTTAAATACTGCCTTTCAATCACTTGCAAATCATGTTCAACTCACACAGAGACCTGGGAAGCTATGATTAAAGATAAGCAGAGATTGTCAAAGATGCTGGCATACAAAGGTTAAAAAAAAAATCTCATAATTTTCCTATTCTACATGACACTAGGAGGAGAAAAAACAGGAAAGGATGATTCCTGTAATTTCAGTAATCTTCGGGTTTTATGAAAGTAATACTGTGTTATTGTTTGTTCAGAATCTGCTTTGCAGGCCTGTGATCTTCCCCCATGGGAAGCAATAGACTGGCATACTATATCCTGGGAAAACCAAAATACAGGCCTTGCTGTGCCATAGCAGGAATGAGTGGAACAGTTACCTTGAAAGGAGCGGCACAGTTTTGCGAGTGTGTATGCACAGACACAGCTCAGGAGCTCCCAGAAATCCCAGGCCCTTTGTGACTCCACAAGAAAGCAAACCAATTTGAATGGGACACAGTAAAATCCCCTTCCCTTTGTTCTCAAAGAGTAGTACACCAGTGTTCAAGAAGGCCCCTTACTTACTACGGTTCTAAGGCATTTTCTTTTCTTCTTCTTTCATTAATGATCTACCTTAGAATTCAGCCAAAAAAGCATCTCAGAGCAGCCTTGGACAGATTCTTTCAGGTGGAAAAACATGTGAAAATATATTCAGAGTTTTTCAAGTATCTTTAAAACACTCCTTAATATTTTTTTTTGTGCTACAGGATATGTTCAGGCAAGTTAATGTTTTGAATCCTTTGAATTCTCCAGCTGGGCTGCCCTTTATACTTAAAAAAGAAAACAACTCTGGGACTTCTAAGCACACCTGGTCAGGTTAAAAACACTGAGCAGAAAACAAAGGCATTAGTAGTGAGAGTATCTGGTAATTTACGAGAGTCATGAATTTGGAAGCTTTCTGGGTGTATATTAACATATTTGAAAGAAGCATAAAATTGGCAGCCTTGTTAAAATGATAACAACCATGAAGGATTTGATTGAAGATGTTACCAATTTACAATCAATATTAATCTTACCTTCTTTTTTCCTGTCATATTCCATTCTTTTAGAACTTGAATTGCACTGCCTAGATAAAGACAAAGAATCTTCAACAAATATTCACATCATGAAACACCACACAAAATTCACCTCTGTCTTTCCATCTTGGTAGCAGTTTTTAAATTTTTTTGCTTTTTCATTTGTTTTGATACATCCTGTCTTAATAAAAATGCCAGTTTCATCCTTTATTTCCCAGATTTTCACTTAATTTACTGTATGATCTTGGTTTTATCAAAATATTAAGCCTCACTACATGAAGCTTACTTTTTTATCATTATATTATCTTAGGGAAAATGAAATATATCTTGAGAATTTTCCAGCAGCTTGTTGCCATAGGTAGAATTAAAATTATTCTGTTCGATATATGAGTAAAAATACCTATAATCTTCTGAACCAAATATGGGATTCTGAGTATTATTAACAATGTGAATCACAGCTTCCTGTTTAGCCATTTCTTCACTTTTTCCTTCCCTACTCATATGTTCACATCTGGCATGGGGATGAGGAAGACATATTATAATATTAGTTTCTCTAGAGTTAGCATGGATAGAGATGGGAGGTAGTCTTTACAGGGCTTCTACCTTGAAACCAAAAAAAGTTCATTATGTGAAAAGTTGGGCCCCAGGTTCTGTCCATCCCATTTACACATATAGGTAGAACTGTACTGACTCAGAGAAGATACCTAATTATATTAAATTATATATAAATTAAATGCCTAATTAAATTACAAGACATTAAAAAATATTTTATTGCTGGCCAGCTGCAATCCATGTTTCTGCATAGTCTAACAAAGTTCATTCATTCATTCCAATTGTGCTGAAGGTAGGTTCAATAACAAATTATTGGTAATGAGGACACCAGTTGTTTTCAGATAAATAGGCATAGCATTTCTAAAAGAGGATAGCTCTTTTAAATGTGTTCTTTTAACAATTTTAAGCATTTTCATACAATCTAAATATACTAATAGATCTCTACAAGGAGTATGTTGGCTAAACAAAGATAAATTTCAGGCTGGTCTTTATAATAAATTTCAAATTAGTAGGGTCCCAATTATTGAGTCTACTGTCACTGTTAGATAAGCAGAAGGCCATATGGCTCTGACTAATGTTCAGACAGGCTAATTATTCCAATCTATTTAAGGTTTCCAATTCAATGACCCTCTTAGACTTGTCTGAGTTGCAAGCACTTGAAATAATAAGTCTGCACCTAAGAGTAAGCTATATTTCAGATTTTTTATTAACTGGGTGATCTTTCTCTAATTTGTCCAGAGAATTAATGTTTCACAGCATTTTCCTTTTGCAGATATTTAGAAAGTCCCTTTCATTAGGTTTCTTGGTAAGTCTTGGTTAATAATAATTAGAGCAGTTATTACAGCTATGCTTCAGTTTTCTAAATAAAACTAAAATTTAAAAATGCTAAATTCAATTCATTTTAATCAGCAAATGGTGGTGAGTTGCTTACTGCTTTCACAACTGCCATATTTAATTAGTCCTCTAATTTTCAGGTTTTGATATACATTCTCATTGTAATTTGGACAATGAGCTTTAAAGACTAATTCTGAAGAAGAAATACCCATAGTTACAGAAGATTTTGAAACTGTTATTATTAAATTTTAATTATCCTGAAACTGCTTGGAGTTTTTCAGCCACTCATATTGCTTTCTGTATGCCTCATAAATGACTCCTAATAAATATTTTTGACTCTCAGTCTTTTTTTATTTTTTTTTTGAGACAGAATCTTGCACTATTGCCTAGGCTGGAGTGCAGTGGTGCAAACATGGCTCACTGTAGCCTCGACTTCCCAGGTTCACCTGGTCCTCCTGCCTGTAGCTGGGACTACAGGCATGTGCCACCACTCTAGGCTAATTAAAAAAAAAAAAAACTGTAGAGACAGTATCTCATCATGTTGTCCAGGCTGGTCTCAAACTCCTGGCAATCCTTCTGCCTTGACCTCCCAAAGTGCTGGGGTTACAGGCATGAGCCACCTGCCTGGCACCCAGTGGTTTTAAAACAAGTTTTCCTACTGCTCCTCAACCAAAACGACTTCCCATGAGGCTTCTCAGCAATCAATCAGTTTTATTAATGAGATCTCAACACTGAGAAGGTGAAAATTTCAAGAAGGACAAGCAAGGTGCTCTGTTTAAATACAAACAGATTTGATGGCAGTCCATCAGTTACTGCATCTCATCAAGATCACTCAGCAATAAAAACTTTCATGATAGGGAATATGGTGGGCCTCAGTCCAAGCAGGGGTAGGGAAGAATGGGGAAAATAGCCTTTTTCCTTTCCTAAAGCTTTTTTTTCCATGCCAGTGATGTTCACAAGTAAAACCTGAGAAGAGAAAGTATCTGACCCAGGATGTGCTTATTTCCCAATATGTTTTGAGACAAACTGCACCTAATGCTGCAAAGTCAGATTAGTATTGTATTCTCTACTATTTGCTTCTTGTGAATAAAAATTATATATCTGTTAGTATATGAACCAGGGAAAAACAGTGAGGAAAGTTATGCACTATGGATTTGCTTATAGGTCTACTGAATGATAATCATTTGCTAATTCAATTAGGACCTTGCACCTTGACTGCTGATATCAGAATCAAGCAGAATGGGAGCATATTGCTTGGTTGCAAGACCTTGCCCTGAAATGCAATTATACTTTTAGAAACTCAAGAAGGTTACTCTACTCCTAGGAAAATAAGTAAATCAAACTGTCCTTGACAAACCGTAAATAGGATACAACTGAGAAATGTGCTGGCAGGTCTTCCTTGACCTTATTTGACAGATTATGTGTAGCTTGCCCATATTTACAAAACAGAAACTAATACCTGAACAGAAGACACACGGTAACTAAGAATAAGCCAGAGATCTTTGTTCAAAACTGGAACTTGTTTAATTTGATTAGGAGAGGAGAATTTCCCCATCATTTACGGAAATCTAAAGCATTATGTTGTAACTTTATAGGATAAACATATTTCTGAGACTTTAGATTTTGTAACATCTCTGGCAATGGACTATCTAAACAACAATTTCTTTTAAATAAAGCAAAAATATTTTAGAGGTGGATAAGATAAACTGATATTGCCATTAATTTGGCAATCTAAAAATCATAAACTAAAGACATTAAAGAATAAACCAGTCCTCTTAGACTACATAAGCATCAAGTTTAATAATTCCTATCATAAAGCCAAGTAGAATTAAGCTGGTTGGAGAAGCTTTCCAGATAAGGACCAAAATGCATTATCCTCCATTCATAAGAATGACATCACATAAAGAACACATTTCTTTATTTCTTTAACTATTGAGACAGGGTCTTACTCTGTCATCCAGGCTGGAGTACAGTGGCATGATCTTGGCTCACTGCAACCTCTGCCTCCTGGGCTCAAGCCATCTTCCCACTTCAGCCTCTGAGACATGCACTACCATGCCTGGCTAATTTTTTTTTTTTTATAGAGACAGGGTTTCACCACGTTTCCCAGGTTGGTCTTGAACTTCTGGCCTCAAGTAATCTGCCCACCTTGGCCTCCCAAAGTGCTGGGACTACAGGCATGAGTCACTGCTGGCCAAAGACACATTTAATATCAAATTGGAATGACTGGTAGGCAAGGAAATGAGCAGCACTATAAACAACATCCTTGAAAACAAGACTTTTTTTTTCCTTAAAGAGAGAAAAATAACTTCCAAATTCTATTCTTATTGAGTATGTTTATATGTTTTTAAAATCTAGCACCTTTTTTTTTGAGACAGGATCTAACTCTGTCACCTAGGCTAGAGTGCAGTGGTGTGATCATGTGAAGCCCAGCACATATTTATGAGACCTAAAGTACTCATAATGAATTGACAGTTCATTTAAGGAAAAAAATATGGAATATCTGGAATATTTAGTTCTAACATCTTCAGCTCCAGGACATAGGTATACCTACCATCCACAAAGGCTTGTACAGCTTTATCCACATTAAAATCAAACTGTTGTAGCACCAGGACTATTTCATTATTGCTTTTGTTGGGAACAACTGATCTAACTGCATAGATCTGTAAAGGAAAAAAAAAAGAAATAGAAAGGTGAACACCTGAAATATTTTTCATCTATGAATTGCCCACTGGACAGAGTTATAATGATTAGAAAGCTCTCAAAAAGCCAACTTATCTACCTTCTTGCCATGAAGCATAATCAAGGCATTCCAGACCAGTGAACATTCATCCTGGTAATCACCTTGATACCCACTTTATTTGTGTACACATTTTTACAAAGATCTTCTTGTAGGAATGTAGGAGCATGTGCGAAAAGTCAACTCTGGTTTTGCAATCTACCCTCCCCCAAGACTACAGATGCATACAAGATGTGTTCTCAGCGAGGACACAGAGTCTTTTTCTGTCTCAGGCTTCCTTTCCACTGGCTCAGGGGGTTCTTTAGAAAATGTACAGAAATAGCCTCATGCCTCAGCTTCTCTATCTGCACAGTGGAAACAGTCATCTTGAGGGTCACAGAAGTGTGCTGTGAAATTCCATTAATGTTTAAAGATACAAAAAATGTGGAGCATTGTATTTTTGAAATGGTAATCTTAGCTACAGTCCAAAAAATGTTCTTGAACACACTTCTGAAAATCAAACATTGAAAACAGCAAAAGTAAATACATATACGCACAAGGATTTCAATAGGTTAAAGCTTATATTTAATGTTCAATGACATATATATATTTCTTAGTCAATTGAGCATATATTCTTTCTTCTTGACTATTAGAATTAATTGACCTTTATCTCACAGTACTTGTACAACTACAGAATGTTCTATTGATTTTAGTAAAACCTGGTTCACCCAGTTTTCTATCACAAGGATTACTGCAGCTGCTACTGACAAATAGTGGAGTATTGCATGGTGCAAAGGTAAGTGATTATTAGAGCACTGTACAATCTTCAAGTGTTTTCATTAGCAGTTAAATTATGACCCGTTGGTTTTAGAGTTAAATGCAGGTTAGTACAATTGGATTCATGGAATATGGATTATATGGGTATGGCATGTGTAATGTGATGCTACTGACCAGAACATTTAATTGAACAGGATAGCCTATTTCCTGATTATGTTAGAAAACAGACCACCTATTACACACAGATCTACATGTAAGAGTATTTAGGTTGTAATGAGACAACAGCACAAGCTACTGCCATGTACTCACCCAGCACAAGCTAGGGGTGGGTATATGACTTGTAAAGGTCCTGACACTATAGATTAGAAAGCTGGTTTTGAATCTTGAAATTATAAATGCTAAATATTTGAGTTTTACTAAGGACTCTAATACTATATATATATTTGTATGTGTGTGACTCAAGATTCCTTGATTATTTTCTATTCTCACATTTTATGGTTCTTCGTTTTTCTAGCATCCATTGGGGGGAAAAAAACTTCTTCAAATCTAAGCTGTTTCTCACTTTTTCTCTCTGTCTTCTTTAAAAGTCCAATTCTGTGAGTATTTTTTGAATACCTATTATGTGATAAGCCATCAGACTTCCTGGAACTTAGAGACTAGAAGAGGATTTGCACATTGACCAAATGATTGCATAAATATATGCTTATACATTCCATATAAGTGGTATAAAATCATATGACAGGGATTTGACTTTATATGGCTTTATCCACTGAGAGCTGGACGGAGGATGAGTGAGAAGAGATGGATGGGAAGGGAAGGGAAAACATTTTGGCCACAGAGAACAGCATGAGTGAGGAGCGAGGCACCGATGATGAGGGAGGCACCGATGATGAGGGAGGAGCTGAAGGTGATTAGGGAGGGAGGCAGAGGGTAGGCTTCTAGTGTACAAGAGGAAGCCCGAACTGGGCAGGGACCAGATCGCACAGGGCCTACACGGCTGTACAAAGGATTTTTATTCTTAGGAGCTTCCCTCAACTATCTTTTTGTTGAGCTTTTTTTTTTTTTTATTTGAGAGAGAGGCCAAGATCGGGAGAAAAACAACAACAAAAAATCCTCCATCCAGCCCAGAAAGGTCATTAACAGAATGTGTCCAACAACACACCATATCTGGCTCATTGTTACTAGTGCACTGGAGTTATGCCTAAAGATTGTGTTACCCTTCCAACATAGCATTTTAAATAAAATCTAGCATTTATTTCAAGCCACTATGGCTTGGTTCATATTACAAAATTTCTTTTTTTTTTTTTTTTTTTTGAGATGGAGTTTCGCTCTTGTTACCCAGGCTGGAGTGCAATGGCGTGATCTCGGCTCACCGCAACCTCCGTCTCCTGGGTTCAGGCAATTCTCCTGCCTCAGCTTCCTGAGTAGCTGGGATTACAGGCACGCGCCACCATGCCCAGCTAATTTTTTTTTTTGTATTTTTAGTAGAGACGGGGTTTCATCATGTTGAGACCAGGATGGTCTCGATCTATTCACCTTGTGATCCACCGGCCTTGGCCTCCCAAAGTGCTGGGATTACAGGTGTGAGCCACTGCACCCGGCCCACAAAATTTCTTAATAATCACCAGCATTATTACCGCATCAGGCACACGTAAATAATATAATATAATATAATATAATATAATATAATATAATATAAATTATATTAACTACATTATAGTTACATTTGACAAAGGTTTTCAATCCATCTACACAGCTATGTAAACTGTAAAGACCCAGAATTATGGGATAAACATGAAATAATGGCTTTCTCTGACTCCAATCTCTCCCCTGCAAAATACAATGTTGTATTATGTTAAGGCAAAACACAAAATAAACCACTACTTGTAGAGATACTTCCTTTTTAGATGTTTATACTACTCTTGCCTATCCTCCTTCAAAAGAAAAAACAAAAATCATGGTCAGATGTGCACAGAAAACATTATCCATCCTTGCCATTTTGTATATCCTAGCACTGACTGTATCTTTAGGAAATTGTCAATAACTGAGTTTTGATATCAAATCTAACTGAAAATTGTATACAATTCCTGCAGGAAGACACTTAATTAGGATAGGTATTCCAGGTTTTACAGAAAAAAGGGGAAAAATAGTTTCTGCTTATACTTGGGTATGACATATTAATGTTGAATTCTAGTAAATTTCTGGGCCAACCTCTGTTTCTGTTCTAATCGCTTGGCTTGGGTAATGTGGAGAGAGCAGCATTATTTATCAGCCTGCTATTTATAAATCCACTGTTTATTTTCCTATGGAAATGTCTCTGAGAAAGATGGAGAAATTGTGTGCACTCACATGTGCACATAAAAATAAAGGAACCTCACTGTGTCACTACTCATAATTCAGTGGTATCCAAAAGGGTTTAAGCATTTTAATCTAAAAAAAAAGCCCTCATTATGAAGAGCTTTAATTGTAAGGTGTGGATGACCAAGGAAGAGTTATAGTGAGGTTGTGCTGAAAGGCTTGCCTTTGCAGTTGGAAACCAAGCTTCTGAGGACGGATGCTCCTGGAGGAATGGATCAATCAATGCGTGACTAATGGTAGTTTGCATACGGAGAACTCATCAAATTCACGCCCGCAGCGGCTGTTTTGCAGAGGCTGTTTCTGGCACAGCTTCACACACACAGCCTTTTACTTCATTGCCACAGCACAGGCTAACACGTAAGCCACTGTTTGAAGCTGCACTTGACTGCACCCCTAAAGGGCTCTCATGCCATAAGCAAAGTGGTCCCACCAGGCGGCCGCTGTTGGGTGACAGTCAAGATGGCTAGTTAGCGGTTCATTTAGCAACTGCTTTACCTTCCCAAAGTTATGTTCCCCTATTTTACTTCTACTAATTTCACTATGGTTTGGCAAAGTCAATGTGCTATCTAGAAATAGCACGATGTTTTGATGCTATCTCTTGAGCATTTTAATCATGAACCTCTCCTCTCTCTGGGCCTTCCCTACATGGCTCTGCAGGCTCTGCCCCACTGTGCCTCAAGCCTGCCCTGCTGGCCTTTTGCATGCACTAACTGGGCAGCAAGGCAGTGTGACACTCATGGATGTTGTTTGGTTTCAGTTTCCCAAACCAACTTACCTTCCCTGTACCTGAGCTGTCTGATTAAGAGCTGGTAACAGTTTTCCTCATTCATACTGTGCATCTTTTGAGCCTGTCTGTGATGACCCTTAGAAATTCTTCTTGGCTTCCTGATGAGTCAATTAAACTATGTCTCAGTTTCAAAAGTGGCTGTGACCAAAGTTTTCAATCCACCCACAGCAAAGACCCGGCATTATCAAATAAACATAAAATAACTGCTTTCTCTGCTTCCACTCTCTCCCCTGCAATTCAGTCCCAGGCGGCTGTTCTTCCTGAAGTATATTCGTGACCAATTTGCCCTCTTAAGTTCTTAAGAACTTAAGAATAAATTTAAAGATCTGCAACCTGGCATTCAAGGCCAGCAACAATTAAGCTCTAACTTGCTTTCTAAATGTCTCTGACTTTACCCCTTCACAGACAAGCTCCCCGTGCCCAGTTTTGAACCCCCACCCCCAGGCTGGGCTTTTCCAAGATGTGTCTGAATTTCATATTCCAGGTGAAATGCCATGTGTCCCATGAAATTCTTCTTCATCCTCTCTGCCAGAGGTCATCTTTGCCTCAACCCTTATAGCCCTTGGTCAGCAAGAGTCTTTTAACGCTTAGCCCCTTTTCCTTTATAGCTCAAGTATTTGTGTATGTGTCGTGTCTCCCAGATGGTAGGCAACATGAGGGCAGAATCCTCATGTTGGCCATTTTTGGATAATCACCATGCCCATTCACAAGCAACTAATATGGTGCATGTAGTAGGTATTTAATACATATTTGTTGAGTGAGAGAATGCAAACTTATGCTATACCAGGTGGCTGCTCTGAGTCAATGGAAGACTCCACCAACATGTGTGAACCAACCCAGCACTCGGCATCTGCCACTCATGGTAACAGAGGGCAGGTCTCATTTGACTGATGTCATTAAGAATTATATGGGTAGGGAGAACATATATATGTTCTTTAAATTTCAGTAACAGAGACTGGAGGAATATTTATGAGACTTCAACATTCTTACAATTTTACTTCTGTAGAATAAGGTACTCATGG